ACAAATTTCATTACACCAAATACACAAAATAATGTTCTTTTTAGCAACATCATATGACCCCTTTAATGAAAACCCAGTCCAGAGCATTCAGAACCTCAGACTGGGCAGAAGGTTCACCTTCCAACAGAACAATGACCCTAAGCACACAGCAAGAGTGGCTTATAGACAACTGTGTGAATGTCCTTGAGTGGCCCAGCCAGAGCCTGGGATTGAACCCAATCAAATATTTCTGGAGAAACCTGAAAATGTGCATCTGCCCTCATCCAACCTGACAGAGCTTGAGAGGTGAAGAGATGAGGAGAAGAATGGCAGATAATTGCCAAATGCTAATGAGCAAAGCTTGTCGCATCAAACAAAATAGACTTGAGGCTGTAAAGGTGCTTCAGCTAAATATTTAGTTGAATACTATGAATACTTATGCAATGTACTTATTTCAGTTTTTTTTATTTTTGTTTCTGAATTTCTTTGGATCTCGGCATGATGTCTAGCTTTTGAGGATCTTTTGGTCTACTTCACTTTGTCAGGCAGGTCCTATTTAAGAGATTTCTTGATTGCGAACAGGTGTGGCAGTAATCAGGCCTGGGTGTGGCATCTGCTAAATTACTAAATGTAAATGTAAACAATGTAAATCGAATAAAAAATATTTAACACCGACTGGTTCATTTTGAGCTTTGGGCATTGAAATCCAAACCGCACCGTAGAATCCTTGTGATCTGAAGAAAAACAAGACCTCATGAAGTTAAAATCCAGCACTAATACAGAACTGTGAAACTATTTCAACTTCATTTCTCTCTAGACCACACTCCTGGGATGGGAAACACTTTTTAAATGAGCCAGGCACCCCCGGATCCTACCCGCTGCACAGTCGTCACAGTCGACCCCAATCTGCCAAGACTCTATGTGAAATATTGTTCTGTAACTTTCTTAACTGGAAACGCAAATTATTCAGCAGTGCTTTTTATCCATAGACATCCATCTTGTCCAGGTACCTTGTTGACCCTGATACATATGCCCACCTCTATGGCATTCCTGGGATATGGGTTAG